AAAATAAATTTTTGGAAAGTTATTGTTCTAAATGGTGCCATTGTACTTGTATGCTACTTATACACGTACCTTAGGTTTATAAGCAGTGTTATGTGTACTTGATGGATTCTCTTGAAGATGGTGTAATTATTTACACCGAAACATGTAGGGTTTCAAGTTTCTTTTAACTTTTATATATTTAATTTTTTAACTTTACAAATAAATGTTTGTGCAAGTAAAAATGCTGATCTTTGTTTTATTATTTTATTTAACATTTTTGCACAAGAACTGGTAGTTTTTACGTATTTAGTGTGTATATCTTCAGTTTTTCAGTAAATATTATAAATTTGTCGTATTCAAAAAATCATATTTTTTAGTGAATTATTTATAATAAACTGAAATGATATTTGTTCTTGAATATATCGAGTATTTGTTTTGAATAGTCAGTGTGCAAAGTGATTTTCATGTTAAGATTAAAAATACTTTTCTTCATCTAAAAAATCTCATACTTAATTTATGTAATGACTAAAACCTCCTAAATACATTTCAAGTCTTTGTTTTCAGTAAAACCATATTTTATCTGTTATATACTCTACCCTAACTCTATACACGGTGGTCAATTTGACCAACACCAAATATAAAAATAAAAAATTAAATAAATCTAAATTACCCTTTTTTCATTCTAGAATGATTTCAAATGTAACATGAAACTAACTTCATTTATCCTAAGTAGCTTTAAACTTGTAACAGTATACATCTATTTATAATTACATTTTATTGCTTTATTGCCTATGATCGATATCTAACTACTAGTCGTGTCATTATAAGTTGTAAATCACTTGGGAAACGTGCAGCACATGTTACACTATCGATTTACTTTACCCACATGCTTCTCTAAGCTGCTCCCATGCGTGCTTCGTGAAATATTACTATTATTATTTATTTCACTAATCTAACCTTAACTAACCTAAAGAGATCCCCATTTTTACATTTTACAATAAATATGAAAAACAAGAAATAAAGTACTTACCTGAGTTATTTTTTTTTTTTTTTTGCTGTTGACTATTGATGACAATTAACCTTACTTTTTTAATACTAATGGTAGTAGTGCATTAAATAATTTTATTTAATTAATAATGCACCAAAGAACATAGAATAATACATGCAAGAAGGAGACAATTTCCTCTAACAATAAGTTTTTCTGGCTTTCTCACCATGCAACAAGAGCTGTTACAAATTCATTCAAGCTAGTTGTTACGTTTCTCGTGGGAACAGAGCCTGTACTACAAGTGAAATTGACGATTATTTGTTCAGAACACAATGTAATATAATATGTCATTTGATAGATGAAAACCTTGGCATTCTGTTGGTTACAGGTAATATATAATTAAACATAAGAGAGAACTATTAACAAATCCTGAAATAGAGGATGTGACAGGTGGGTGTGGCAGGAGAGGTCTAATTTTCTCTTTGATAGCTCTGTAACCAAACAAAATTGAAGGCTATGAAAATTAAGGTTTGTCTGAGCAATGACTGTTTTATAGTGAGTAATTTATGTTTAATTTTGTAGTTAGTGGATGGTGGATAAAATAGAGAAGATACCCAGAGAAAATGTGTCACGTGTGTCACACTGGGGGAAATTCAGGATTTTTTTTAATATTGCCTTTAGAATTAAGAAGTTAAACTTATATACTGTATATACTGTTAAAATATGGATTTTTAGATAAGATTTTGTGCTATACTAATTGTTATAACATAAACAAAAAGTAGTTTAATAAAATTTTGAATGTAAGACACTAAAACCTTGTGTCATGCACGGTAAAAGATACCCATGGCAATAGGGTTAAGGGCAGTCTATGGCCTCCACAAAAAATATTGACTCAACATGTTTTGACATTCCAATATCATCATCATTAATACATTATGATCCTTCAGTGTTTCCGATAAGGTACATTACTTCCATTCACATGAAAGCTATTCTTGTTCAGTGCTGCCAAAGGTGGTTCATGCCAACAGGCTTTAGTGTTATCATGGTCCAAAACATTTCAGTTGGAACGAAGTGAACAACGGAACAGATGACGCTGCTGAAGAAGATACATCCCATAAAATTAAGAGACTTTGTTGAATTTTAATTTTGTGTTTGTTAATTATATACGTTTAATTAAGTTATTGTTAATTATCTATTGGTTTAATTTAAGTGTCTGTTATTCAGGATGAACAATACTAAGGAAGGGGCAGTGTTACGACAGCGGAAGTCACGTGACGCTGGTAACACGTGATGAGTGTCTAGAAGATTCGCAAAGACGCTAGCATTTGCTAGACATGCGCTCTTATAGTATATAAGACCAGCGAGAAGTGATGGCATAGATAATTGCAGACAGACAGAGATGGACAATTGAGTCAAGCACGGTAGTAAAGTGTGTAGATTGTTGTGAATTATAGCGTGTATGTAAGTAAAAGGGACTGGAAATTAAGTGTATTGCGAAGTTGTATTGAGAGGAAATAAACTAGTTTTATTTAAGAAAGGACTTGTGTCGCTGAAGTTTCATCGGAAATAAATTATACGGAAAATTAACAAACGAACAGAGATGTAACAGTATTTATGTATAGATAAGCAAATTATCTCCTTGTCTAGTATGTCTCGGTAAGAATAATGTCTCATACACTTAGTTTGGTAAAGAGAACATTTGTAGATTTCATTAAATCCTAGGATTAGTGACCAGATATGTCACAAAATATATGTGATTTGAAGTGATGACTTAATAGCATAGTATGTAAATTTTAGAAGATATTTGTCAAGATAAATAAATCATCTTATGTTCAACAGAGGAATTATCGTGCTCACGCTATTCTTCTCAAAAGTAGAATGTGAAAATGATTATCTTATATTTATAATATTTTCTAAGTGTATTTTGTATATTGGTCAGAAAAAGTACATCTATGTAAGATTTGTATGTAGCAGTTTTTGAGACTTTAATAAAATCTCAAAATTTTAGGAGTGTTTAAATTATTTTCAGTTGTTTACCCTCCTGATAAACAAGGAATAGATAACAATGTTCTATTTGAAGTATTTCCTTCTATATGATTATAATTTATGAAAAGGCCCTGCTTTCTCTTGTTCTGATAGGTAGTTTAAATTGTGTAAGACCTTAAGTTAGTTCAAATGACATTTAGGCCATATTGCTCAGCATGAAAATGTTCATGTCAAATGGAAAGTTAAAAGATTTATGTATTATGACATTTGATTAGCTTTCACAGAATCTTTCTTGTTGAGTAAAATGCAGGAAAAATGTACAGTAGGTAAAATAGCTGTACGAAAATGTTTAATGTGAAAAAAAAGAAGTGTTAGAGGAATTTTTCTAAAACCTGAATATTGTAACATTTGTGTTGCATTTACACTGTATTTGTAAGTAGCAGCAAAATGTTTTGATGATTATCATATTTCATTGAGGTGGATTTGTTTCTGTGTACCGATTTCAAGGTTTCATTGAGATTGATATGTTTTTCTGCATAGATTTAACGTAACACTGAAGGACAGCAAGAGACCCTTTGGTCCATCTAGGCTGTCCTATCTACTAAATTAAACTAAACCCTTAAGGAAAAATAAACCACAAAGCCAGTCTTAAACTGCCTTAATTAATTGCATCCACCACATCCAAAGACAACCCATTCCAGAGACCAACCACACTGTTAGAAAAAATTGTCTTGGCTAATAAAGATGACTTTTTTTCTGCCAAAATTTATATTTATGTCCCCTAGTCTTAAATTCTTACCAGTAAATATGGAAAAAGATGATACATCAACACTATCAATTCCCTTAATGTTCTTAAACACTTCAATCAGATCCCCTCTTCTCTCCTTTCTTCAAGAGAAAACAAGTTCAGAGATCTTAACCTATCCTCATATCATAACCCTTTCATCCAATGTATCATTGTAGTAACCATTCCCTGAGCCCTTTTGAATAATTCAATGACCTTTCTAAGGTAATGAGTGTAATACTGAACACAATACTCCAAATGTGGCCTTACTAATGACCTGTAGAATGACATTATAACCTCTTTAGACATTCAATATTTCTTTAGATACAATGTAAAATCCTATTTGCCTTTTCATAGCACATTGCTTGGATGGCTCAAGAGACTGATGAACCAGAACACCAAGATCTTTTTCTTCCATAATACTGTTAAGGTTATTCACATTCAAATTATACTCAAAATTCAAATTTTGATATCCCACATGCATTACCTTACATTTATTATAATTGAAAGCCATCTGCCATTTATTTGTCCAAATATTGCAAATCCTTTTGTAAGGCAGTAGCATCCTCTCGCAGCCAGCAAGATCCAAAAAATTTAATGCTCTTAACAAATTTAAATAATCTATTGACCATTCTTTCATCTACGCTATTTGATATAAATCAAAAAGAGCAAAGGTTCTAACACTGAGCCCTAGGTTACGCCAGTAGTAACATTAATCAAGCTTGACTGAACTCCATTTATGATATATCTGTTTTTTTTCCATCTAACCAGTTTTTTATCCAATGAGCCAACCTATTCCAACACCTACAGAGAACTTTTTAAAAAGTTATGTAGCACCTTGTAAAATGCTTTCTGAAATATCAGAAGAATAGTAATGCAAAACTTTTTCTTAGTGAAACCATGCTGACTAGTCAACAAGATTTTAAACTTTGTTAAATGTCTTTGCAAAGCAGCTTTTATCAGATGTTCAAAACATTTTCCCTCAACTGATATAAGACTTATAGGCTTATAATTACTAGGACAATTTCATTGAGGCTGATTTGTTTCTCTTGACAGATTTCATTGAGGTTGATTTGTTTCATTCATTAGTTTGAAGTTATTCTTGTATTCAAGCTCAGGCTGACTTCTTTTGATATTAATTATTGGTTGAATAAAAAGTAGATTTTTTAAAGTATTCTCTTTCCATCTTATAAAGTAACAGTTTCTCTTACAGGTTACTTGTAAAAATGCACAGCTTATGAAGTGTTTCTTGTTTATACACAGTTTCCCCAAGTCAGATTGAAAGGCTGTATAGCCGCTTCACAAGCCTGGACAAAGGAGATAATGGAACTCTTAGGTATAAAATTTCTATCAAATAATTCTTTACACTAAAAATTGTGTGTTCATATACAATATATCCAGTACTATTCTAGTTTACTGTAAAAGTTTGGAATTTGACTATTGCTTCTTTTTTTTATACTTCTGTATGTTTTCATTTGTGATTTTGTTTAAACATAAATTTGAGAGCCTCTAAATTCAAGCACGATCATTGCTATTTTTGGCATAAATCTAAAGATTAAACAGGGTGATGCAAGTCACATGCAACTATGATTTTTCAAAGGCATGTTGTTATAGCTGTTCGAAATATCCCCCATGTATAAACATAACAGAATGTTGCAACAGATTCATTTCCACATGTTCTCCAAAGTGTAGTGGCATCTCTACCATTTATTGTAACAAATGAAAGAGTCAGAGAAACATAAACAAGACATAGAAATATGGTGCTGCATGGGTTTTGTTGACACTTTGTAAGTTAGTAATAGACACATGGGTAGCTTTATTATAAAGGATGAACTGACTAAGTTCAACATACAAGGACCAGCAATCAAATGACAATAGCCCATCACTAATAGGAGAGCAACACATCCTCAATGCACAGTAAATTCCCATAAGCACCTGTACTCAAATTTGTTTCATTCTTATCCTCAGTAATATTTTTAACAGCTGTGTTTCTTTAAGTTGAAACTTAATTTTGTGAGCCATGTGCTGCATTTTCAGTGTTAACTTTCTTTGGTTTCCTTTTAGTTTATTTTAACTTTGATTTAAATATCTAAAAACAAATTATTTAATCTTTAATTCTTTTACTAATACTACCCCTATTTTGTCTGTGGCCACTGGAGCCACATTGACTGTGGAAGACACTACTACCATAGTTCATCATGTTTTGGGTTCTTTGATGTTTTCCTTGCCTCATCTTCCTGTTCCTACATCTGAAGTGCATTATCCTCTTTTTGATATTGACCATAAGCATGACAAAACTTTGATCAACTCTTTCCACTTCCTAGGTTTGAACTAGGCTCCTCATTACCTGTTGAGGACAGTTTTCCCTCCCCAAATCTCTTTGTAGATTTTATTACTCATGTTTGTACTTTACTTTCCTCTTCTCTTATATCTTTTGATTCTTCCAGTTACTTACCACATAGCTCTTTAGCTATGGTTTTTTTTTCTTTTCCCTTCTTCTCCAGATATGTGTCCAAGTTGACACATTCCTGGATCAGCTCTGTTCCCACTCAAGTGTCTCATTCTCCTTGAATCCAGGATTCCTTTGCCATAGCTTATAAGTTTCTCCTTTTCTTCAATTCCCAATTACTGGAGTCACATTTTTATCCAGACTTCAGTAACACTCTCTAATGCTAAATTATCCCCTATTCAGTATTTTATTTTCCATTTATTTTGTATCTTGTCTTCATTTCCTATCTGAAGCCCTTCACTGTGGGCATCAATTTTTCTGGGGATCTGCAGTTGGTCTTTTTCAATACCTTTGCCATTTTTGCATCTTCTGTCTTGTCTCTGCTTCCTTGCCTTGTCTCTGCTGTTGGGACCTTCTGGGATGTGATGCTCTTCACTGTACTGTTCATCTTTCCCATTCTTACCTCTGTAACATCTGTCTGGTTCCTTTTCTTCACCTTGAAGTCTTTGTGGGTGTTCCTAATGCCTTGGAGACTTAAGCTGAGGCTGCCCAACACCAGACCTCCCTTTCTCCCTTGGTTTCTCATCTCTCACAGCCTTTTGAGTCCACTCCCGTTCTTTGAACTCTGAGAACCCTCCACCCTCTCTCTTTTCCCATTTCTCATCCCTTTACTTATTCTAACTTTCCTCTCCAGCCAGGTTGGTCATCACATGTCCCTCGCTTTGTACCCAGTAAGTGGAAGTCTGTTTTATAACCTTTGGTCTGCTTTTTTGGCTGAATGGTAGGTCATTCAGGTTCTTAAGCAAAGCCTTTCTCTTTATTTCTCATCTTTTCCTCCTCTGTCATATTTTCCCGTTCCTTCTCCTTCTAATTGTCTGTGTCTCAAGGCTGTGGTTCAGATCTTATGGGCATGAGATCCATTGAGAGGGTCACTTGCCTCTCTTGAGGCTTTTATTCTCATCTTTATTTTTTCACCCAAAAGACCAGAGACTGGTGTCATGTCATCAACCTTTTCTCTCTCAACCACTATCTGGTGGTTCCTCAGTTCAAGATGAAAGGATTTCTTCCTCTCAGTTGGTCCTTTTCCCTTAGACTATGGTATCTTGGATGCCTTTCTACATATTCCAATTGTCCCATACTCCTTTCGTTTCTTTCATTCACTGAGATCAGTTATACTAGTTTTGAGCTCTTACCTTCAGCATTGCTTCAGCTCCTTATGTCTTCATCTGTGTCATGGGAGGGTTTGTTCACCACATCTTCAATTTTGGACTCCATTTCCATTATTACATGGATGACTGGCTTCTCCTCAGCTCATTTGGGTTGGTTGGTCATGTTTCTTTTACTCTGACATAATACTTGGTTAACTTTGGAGTCTTTTTCAATTTTTGACTTGGTTGGGCTCAGCCTTTCCGATTTGGAACCTCATTGTGGTTCTACACATTCTTACCTTATTTCCTTATTTCTTTTTCCTGTTTGTGTTCCTCACAAGTCTGATTTTTATGCATTGGATATCTTAGTTACTTTGTGTCACAGATCTTCCTTGGTTTTATTCCCTGACTGTTTCTTTCTTACCAAGATTAGGGCAGCTTCGGAGGGAAATCGTACCATTTCTTCCTTATCTCTTCTGTCAGTCTTTGCTCTTTATGATCATACTGACCTTGATTGTCTTTTGAGTCCAATTCAAGTGTCCAGGTTTTACTTAGCATTTATGACTACATTTCAAGGTTCCTGCAGTTCTTTATTCTTGCAATGGGACACTCTATTTCCAGGTATCTCACATTCATCTATACTTATTAGATGGATTCATCAGCTCATCCAGATTGTCTATTCCTCCCTGGATGGAGATTCTCACAACCTGTATCATGTCCCATCACATCAAATCTGCCACTTACTCACTCTCTGGCCTTGCATTTTTGACAACATTTGGATGTGTTCTTCCACACGGGAATGTGAACTACTCTAAACACCCTCATCTCCCAGTGTGTTCACCATTTGGCAGTTTCATCTCTCTCAGTTAATTGCCACTTGCCAGTTGACATTCTTCAATCTACTCAGCATCTTTATCGGGTGACTCTTTTATTTCCTTACTTATTTATACTGTTTTCCCATTTTCTTTCTTGAACCCACCCAGTGTTGCTTTGTAGAGTTTACTTACTACCCTAAACCTGCATCAAGCCAGAGGTAACAGAAACTGTTAAACCTATCTGCCCTGGCTCCTAAAGTGCACACTGTTAAGATGGAGTTTTCTTTAAGACCACTATAGTGGTTGTGTGTGTATATATATATCTTTGTCCATTCCAGTTTGTACTTTCTACTATGGCCTATTATGGAAAATTTCAGTACTGGGGAAGTGTCTGCTCACTTTACTGGCTTGTGAAATTATGTTTCTTGCTAACCCATTGCTCTTTCTCCACTAAAAGATCTTTGCAGGGTTTAGGTCGGCCAGGACTGGGCACCTCTCTGCTGTCTCCACAGTGCAAATTTCTCTCACCTCCAGTCAGTGTAAAGCAGGCCACCCCCTATTATATATTATATAATATGCCAATTTCTCAGTGGTTTGGCCAACTGGATGGAGCAAAGTATTCTACTCGTGAGACAGGAAAGGACTTAGTCTCCATTCCTGTATAAGGTGAGTATATTGTACAATTCTCGTCGATATTCAACATCGATTGGCCTACTTTTCTCTATCCTCTATTTCCATCCAGTTTTTCTGGATCCCTGGCCACGTCGGTATTCACGGGAACGAGCTCACTGACACCGCAGCTAAGTCCGTCTGCTCTGGTGCCATCACGGCCGTGCCTGTCCCATACATGGACTACGGTCCTGTTTCAAGACGCGGCTTCGTGCCAGTTGGCAGTCGACTTGGAGTGAGCAACGAAATAACAAGCTTTTCCAGATCAAACCTTCTGTTGGTCTTTGGCCGTCTTGCTTCCGTAAGGATCGAAAGGAGGAAGTAGTCCTGGCAAGGCTACGCATTGGTCATAGTTTTTAACCCATCGTTTTCTTTTATCAGGTATCGACCCACTGATGTGTAGCCATTGTGACACTCAAGTCACAATAGCCCACATTTTACTGTCGTGCCGTCGTTACGACCGTGAGCGACGGCACCATTTTAGACACATTTTTTCTAAAAGTTTACCCCTGACGCTGGACAGTGTCATTGGTAATGGTGACACTGTCCGATTAGATTGTATTTTT